TCTCTCTCTCTCTCTCTCTCTCTCTCTTCTCTCCACACACACCGTTGCCTTCATCTTCGCCGTCGTCGATTCAACACTGAAATCCATAGATTTGTAGATCCTCCGCACTTGGTTCGAACTTGCCGATCCATGGGACATAGTGACGATAGTCTTGAAGGCCTCTGTCTCTCTCTCTCTCTCTCTCTCTCTTTGCAATCTCTCTCTCAAATCTCGATCTATTTTCTCTTCTCAAATCTCAATCTCTCTTCTCTCCTTAGACCATGGTTTCCACAAGAAGTGGGTCTCTCAACTTCGGCGGTAATTCCACTGGAACATGGCTTTGTTGATCCTTCGATGGCCAGAGGTGGTGGCGGATAAGCTCCCAATTCCAAAAAGAGGATTCAAGGTTGCTCAAGGTAGGGAAAAAATAACTTTAACTCTGAGAGGCATAACTGTGTTCGTATGTTTTTTGCTCAGTCTTTTTGAGGAGGACATATGATTTGGGAATGGAAGAGGATAGTGAGATTGGATTTGGTGTGGCTTGGCGTTGGATGCCTCTCAAAGAGATTGCTCTTCTTCATTGTCCTCATCTTCACGATCTCTAATGATGATGATCATCTCATGATGATATACATTATTTGTATATGATCATATCATTGTGTTAATTTTTTTTTTTAGATTGGATATCATTGTGTTAGTCAAATTAGTTGTTTGTTGTTGTTGATGATGATTATGATGATGATGAAACATATTGCAACCGATTAAAAAAACATTTGGACATATTTGTTCAAGATAGGTTTAAAAGAATTTATATTGGATCTATTCAATTTTGAACAGATAGATTTCAAGAGATAGGGAAAAATAAGATAGGTTTTAAACAAATAGAGAGAAATTCATAGATTTTAAATAGATAGAGAGAGAAATCTACAAATTTTGAACAAACGGGGGAAAAATTGATGTTGATGATTGCAACAGATAAACAAAAAAGTTAATACAGATTTTCAAATGATAGAAAAAAATTGAATAGATAGATAAAATTTAGGAAAAAATTTGAACAGATAGATAGAATTTAGTGGGAAAATTGAATAGATAGTTAAAAATTTTGAACCAATAGATAGAATTTACAGTACAAAATAGAACAGACAGATATAAAATTGAATAGATAAATAGAACTTAGAAGAAAAATTGAACAAAATTGGGAAAAAATTGAACAAATAGCCAAAAAATTTGAACAGATTAGACAAAAAAATTGAACAGATAATCAACGAAAAGTCAAACAGAAAAAAAAAGGTCAAGGTGTAAAATAAAAAACAAAATGTCTTCTAGGATTTCTCACCAAACTATTTCACAAAGTGTGAACCTTTTACCAACAAAAAATATTCACTGAACCTAATGTCTTACACTCTCTTTAGATTGGGTTTATCACCAATTTTCTCTCTTTTTTTAAAAACATTTTGTATATATAAATTATTATGCTCCTCTACCAATCCCAAAAGGAATAAGGATCATTTGGTCATGCATAACTTCTCCAACCATATGCACATCTTCTTTCTCTACAGCACTTAGCTATCCTTTTCGTTTTCTCTCTAACACATGACAATCACCATCTCCTCCTCAACACATCCAGCTAATTTCTATCCTATACATGCATATATACATACATGCGTAAGCCTACTTATGTGTTTATAAAGTGAGGGAGAAGGGAGAGCAATGAGAGAGAAGCAAGTGAGAGAGGAGCTGGAGGAGGATTGTTGCAAGTAATGCGCTATTTCTCTTAAGGTTACACTTCTCAACTCAACTATTTCTGTTGAGATTTATTCTAGTGAAATGCATGTTTATTTGCAAAATAGTATACTCTCACACTCTAAACCTTAATTCGTGGATTTCTGTTGATGATTTTCTCTCATTTAATCCTACTCCCACTAATGTGATAACTTTTGGAGAATCATCTTCAGACGCAAACCTGACTATAAGCCAGCTCAGGGAGTTGGTATCCCCACTCCAACCACAGAAGAAGCAAAATGATAACACCAAGGAGAAGCCACTATCACCCTTCGAAGGTAAAGGATCGATTTCTTTTCTCATTTAAGATCTGTAGTTTCAGCTTGGGTGCTGCTGTGAGAATACATTGTGAATCTTACAAATTAGGCATGATTGTGGTTGTACATGTTAGAGTCCAAGTCCTATTAGATAAGTGATTGTATTAGAGTCCTTTTTGGTTTAGGAGTTAGGGCTATATAATCTAAGGTCTGATTGTAATCAAATATACAATTGAATATACAGAGATACAGAAAACTTACAACCTCTAGTTTTAAGATGAGTCACAAAATCAAAGCACTTAGACATGAATTAGATGAGATTGCATCTGATAAGAACAAGTTCCATTTCAAAGACTGTGTTGACAGAAGGCCATCAGAGTATAGAAGAAGAGAGCAGACTCACTTATTTGTTTGAACATCTAGGATTATCGGCAGAGATGATGACAAGAAAGCGATCTTAGAAATGGTGATGGATGGAGGAGCTTAGGAGGATATATCCATTGTCTCCATTGTTAGGATTGGGGGACTAGGTAAGACCACACTTGCTCAATTGGTGTTACATGATGAGAAGGTTTTAACAAGTTTTGAGTTAAGAGTGTGGATATGTGTTTCCAATGTCTTCAATTTGAAATTCATCATAAAGCAAATAATAAAATCCGCCAACGGTGAATATGCAAACTTAGAGATGGATTAATTGCAACAAAATCTTCGAAGCTGTTTGGATGGGAAGAGATTCATACTTGTCTTAGATGATGTGTGGAGTGAAAATTGCGAGGAGTGGATTGAGTTGGAAGACTTGTTAATGGGTGGTGAAAAGAGAAGCAAAATTATAGTGACTACGCGAAGTGAAAAGGTTGCATTGATTATGGGAGCCACTTTTTCATACCACTTGAAAGGTTTGCCAGAAGATAATTCTTGGTCATTGTTTAAGCAGTTGGCCTTTGGAAGAAGACAATTGGTGGAAAATCAAAGCCTAGTAACAATTGGGAAGGAGATCTTGACAAACTGCGGAGGAGTGCCTTTAGCCATAAGGACAGTTGGAAGCCTGTTGTACCTAAAAGACACAGAAACTGAGTGGTTGAATGTGAAAAACAAGCTCTGGCAAATAGCTCGAGATGAAACCCACATTTTACCAACATTGAAGGTTAGTTATGACTACTTGCCGTCCCATTTAAAGCCATGTTTTGCCTATTGCGCCCTTTTCCCCATAAGTCGCCGCATTAAGAAGGGGACACTGATTAAAATGTGGATGGCTCAAGGGTTTATTCACTCATCAGGCAAAGACGATGATTTGGAGGATATTGCTGATGAATATTTCAAGGAATTGTTGTTCGGGTCCTTCTTTCAAGATGTAGGTGAAGATGAAAATGGGTATAAAAGTTTCAAAATGCATGATCTTATCCATGATCTTGCACGATTAGTGGCAGGGATAGACTGTTTTATTGTGAATACTAATGTAGAAAATATGTCTGAAAGAACATATTGCATGGCATTTGATTCCATTTCATGTTTGTCACGAGAAGTTTCAACATTCATGATCAATGCAAGGAAGATTCGCACATTAATTTTGTGTGGTCCAGAACAGAGAAAAGCTCATGATACACTAATTTCAAGTTTTATATGCCTGCGTACATTGGATTTGCAAGGTTTAGGAATTGAGAATCTTCCCAAATCTATTGGCAAACTTAAGCATCTAAGATATCTAGATCTCTCATGGAATATCAATATGGCTGCACTTCCCAAATCTATCTGCAAGCTACAGAACTTGCAGACACTTAAACTCTCATACTGTCTTGATTTTAGAAGATTGCCAGTTGATATAAGAAAGTTGGTGGGCCTTAGACATCTTGAAATTGAGGGGTGTAACGACCTAAGTTACATGCCATTTGGACTAGGAGAATTGACATGTCTTCAGACCTTACCAATTTTCATTGTGGGAAAGGATAGCTCCATCTCTAAAGCTATTGGTGGAATTGGTGAGTTGAATAACTTAAACCACCTTAGAGGGGGTCTCCAAATTAAGCATCTTGAAAATGCGAGAAATGGAACATCTAGATTGAAGGAACTGAAGGGAGCAAACTTAAAGGAAAAAAAGTTTATTAAAAAACTGACACTAGAATGAACAGGAGATAAAGATGGTGTTGATTATGTTGATGCGAATGGTAGAGTGTTGGAAGACCTCTAGCCACACCCAAATCTGAAAGAGTTGAATGTAGAAGGATATGGAGGCATCACATTTCCAAGTTGGATGATGATTAAAATGGTTTCATGGCTGCCAAACTTAGTTCGCATCACCATACAAAATTGTAGAAGATACCAACATCTTCCATGGTTTGGTGATCTCCCTTTTCTGAAGTTTTTCAAACTCCAATCTCTAAGTGCACTTGAGTACATAGACAACAACTGCATTGGGTCTTCTTCTGTTGCTAACACTGCTAGTGACGCTGCTGTTGATACTCCATCTTCTTCAAGGAGTAAACTTATGAATGCTGCAACAAGAGGGTCTTTCTTTCCAGCTCTCGAAAAACTTTTACTTGATGGTTTGCCTCTTCTGAAGGAATGGCCGAGGGAAGTAGTTATGGCTAATGATCATGGGGAAATAGCACCAGCTCCACAACAATCATCTTCATTATGTTTTCCTCACCTAACTAGTTTGGAAATCGACCATTGCTCTAGCCTGGTATCAATGCCATTACTTTCATCTCTGGAAGAATTGACCATGAGACATGTAAGTGAGAAGCTCTTACAGTCTATGACAGTGCAAACAGAACTTGACAGACAAATAACAGAAGCAGCCACTTCAGGTCCATCATATCCCCTCTGCAAACTACAGACCCTGCATATCTGGTTCTGTGAAGATCTAGTATCTTCATTAGAACTAGGCTTGAGAAACCTCACTTTACTAAGGGATTTGCAGATTATTGACTGTCATAAGCTAGTACAATTACCAGAAGAAGGATTAAGGTGCTTAGTTTCTCTTCAGTCTCTTCAGATCAATTCTTGTAGCTGCCTGACTTCTCTGTCTCGAGGAATCCAACACCTTACTACCCTCCAGAAGCTAGAAGTATTGCAATGTGGAGCATTTGATTGGTCAAATGAAGACGATGGCTTGCTAGGTCTTGTGAATCTTCAGTCTTTGTATATTTCAATGCTTCCAAAGTTGACTTGTCTTCCTCATGGGCTTCAACACCTGACTACATTACAAGTTCTCTCTATTTCATTCTGTGATGGTTTGGTGACTTTACCAGAGTGGATGGGGAACCTCGTATCACTTGCAAAGCTTTATATCCGCCATTGCCACAAATTAGAGTCTCTTCCTGACTCTCTGCGTTGTCTCTCAATGTTAAAACAAGTGGACATTATTCATTGTGAACTCTTATCCCAAAGATGCCAAAGGGAAGGTGGCACAGAATGGCCTAAGATAGCTCACATCCCAATGATTTGCGTTATTTGCTAAAGGATGAAGATCAAACCATAAAAATAGGGAGTGGTAGAGTCCCAACTAACTTCTGCCTACCCAGGTTTGCAGTTCTCTACTTCTCTTCCAGTTCTCTTTCATAAGTAATTATGGCAAAAATTTCATATAATCTTCTCTTCCTTTTTTATTATTATTATTTTTATTTTTTGGGATAAGTTTTCAACTATTGAGCTTTCTCATTTGCAGCTAAAACCTGAGGAGCACTTCTTAGAGGAAGAAATGAAGTGTTTAAGATATACTGCTATTTCAATTTTCGGGTGATTGGTGTTTCTACAAATTATGATTTACAAAGTATATTATGGTAATAACCTCTCTCTCTCTTTACACATTAAAAATCAGAAATCCAAAAAATGAGGGTTCTGTAATGTTTATGTTTCACTGATTTTGTTGTTTTTCAAAAATTTGAAAACCAACAAATACTCGTTTGACAGCTGTTTAAACTTTCAAAATTTACAAAATTTTAAAAGTACATATATATATATTTACTAGTTATGAAAACAAGTTTTTATTCTCTCCTCACTTCTGCCCCCTCTTGCCACCATCCCCCGTTGGCCACCACCTAGTAACTCATCGAACACGTTTTCTTGTTTTTGTTTTTGTATATCTTGAAAGCTTGTGTGTCAATTATGTAAACATAAAGGTTATTCCTTTTATTTTATTTTTTTGCAAACAAGAAACAAAAAACTGTAGACATTACCAAACACTAATGCTCTATTTTGTTTCTCATTCCTCTTTGGTAATGGATACAAAGAACAAGACCTTGGTAATGGTTTTAATATTTGGAATCAGCAATTGAGCCATTCACGTCTTTAACTGCAATTAGGCCAAATTAATTCTACATGTGAATGACATTTGCTAAAGATAAGTGTTATTAAAATTAAACCATGAATCAGAGTTGAATGAAAGTCAATACTTGTTTATCAAAGTTAGCCCTCCTGTATTAAGTCCTCATGTCACACATCAAAACTATTTATTAAAGTTAAATCCAATTTACAACTTATGAACAAGACAAGGGCAACCATAGTAAATTTTTTTTTTTTTTTTTAAATTTTAAATTTTAAATTTTTTATATATTTCATTTGATGCATTCCCCATAATTTATTTTCTATCTCTTTTGCCTTTGTGGTTGAAAGTGATTGCTAGTGACTGGTCTTGAGAGTGCATGATGATCCAACTTTGTAGGTAGCTTATGTGCTTTCCTGTAATTAACCTATGTAATCATTGAAGTTGTGTTTTGTGGAAGGATTTATGGGGAAAACAAAAAGAAAAAAAAAAAAAAAGAAAAGAGACGAGAAAGTGAATAAATATAAGTGTTTTTTTTTTTTTTTCTTCACTTTTTCCTTGTCTACAAATCTCCACTTAAATTCTTGGTCCAAACACAGCTAAAGGAACTCAAAATCTTTTTATGTACATTTTCAATGGACAAAACTAAGTTCAACTTCAATAGTTTCTTGGTAAATTAGGTGTTTACCTAGGTTCGAATTTAAACAGACTAATACCAAGTTCTTTTTTCTTGTTACATTGCTGCTATATAGCTTCATACACACACACACACACACACTTGACTCTTTACAGATGGAATTTGGAAATGTGACGGAAGTTTTCCTGGCTAACTTGAATTTTAATTACTATATCCCTTCTTTGTATTTTGCAGATTTAGAGAGAGAGAGAGGAAAAGAAAACAGATGGAATCACTCTCTGATCTCTGGTTGCCATGAAAAGGAGGGACACAATAAGCACACAGTAAAATTCTTAATTTTAAATGTTATTTTCAATTTTCTATTTCCTTGGTTTCCAATAACTTAAGAGATTTTTTTTTTTAATCTTCTTATTTTTTAAACTTTCTGTATGCATAAATTCATTATAATCGTATCATTTTTCGTCTTTTGTTGCTCATTCCCCTTGTGTTTTGATATTTGTATATAAAAAACGAGATCTTGGGAATGCTTTTAATATTTGTTAAAGATCAGTGCAATTAAAATTAAGCCGTGAATCAGAGGAATTAAGTTTTATCAAAGTTATCCCTCTTGTATTAAGTCCTCATGCCACACATCAAAACTATTTATTAAAGTTTAATTCTGTTTACTACTTAAATTAGAGTCTTTTTTTTTAAAAAAATATTTTTCATTTGATGGGATCCCTAGAATTTGTTTTCTATCTCTTTTGCCTTTGTGGTTGGAAGTGATTGCTAGTGGTTGGTCTTGGGAGTACATGATCAATATTGGCCATAGCTTATTGTTCTTCTTTGCTGTAATTAACCTATGTAAGCAACTCAAATTCTCTTAATTTTACTTTTAAATTTCAAGGGACAAAACTATATTGAACAATATTAGTTTCTTTGTAAATAGGGTGTTTGCCCAGGTGAGGATTTAATCAATCACCCTGCATACAGACTAAATATTAAGGTACTTTTTGGTTTACTGAAATTGCTGGAATCAAACATTCCATCAAAATTTTCATTCCTATGTGTGGTTGATTCAAAAAAATAATGAAAAATGTATTGTAAATAGAATCATCATTCACTATTATAAGAGAATAATCATTTGTAAGCCTAAGGAAGGTGATGTAAGATTTATGAATTAACTATACATTCAGGCCTCGTTTGGCAACCCAACTTTTTAGTTAAAAAGCCAAAAAGTTACAAAAAAAGCTAAAAAGCCTATAAATTTCACTCTACACAGCTATGTACAGTATCTTCACGTGATGTGTGGTAGATGCAGTGTAAAAAGACCGTTTGGCCCCTCATTGATTTTCGTTATTCCGTTTTCACCCTCGCTTTATGTCAAACACTGATGGGAATATTTCAGAGCTATTATTTTCAGAGCTATTATCACAGAGGAGGGTGTACTATCTTCAGCTATTCAAGTTGAATCAAGATGAAGAGGGTTCTTCGTTCAACGCCAGAAAATAGTAGAAGCTCTGATCTGAAGAGAAAGAAAAACAAAGCGACGACGACAGTCCGCGAAGGCCGACAGAGAAGCAGTCCATCCCCCGACGATTCCCCCAGCCGCAGGTATGCTCTTCTTCGTTCTCTCTCTCTCTCTCTCTCTCTCTCTGTTCAGCATCTCTTGTTTCTGTTTCGAAATGTAACCATGAGTCGTATGGTCTGTTTGTCATATATGTATGAACTCTGTCTCTCTCTCTCGCGGTGTGTGTGTGTGTGTGTGTGTGTGTGTGTGTGTGTCTCGCGCTTTGTCTGACCACTTCCATATTTGAATCTGTCGTATAAATTCAGATTTGGGCAATATTTTCAGGAACTCCCCTACATACTGCCATGTTTAGGGTTTTAGGGCTTCCTTTAAACTACCGACACCACTATACAAATTAGCGGGTTTTTGGTGGTGGGGAGGGGGTGTGGATCTGATAACCATGACTTGTATGCTCTGTTTTTTGTATATGGATGAACTCTGTCACTCTGTGTGTGTGTGTGTGTGACCACTTGGCAATTTCAATTTGTCTTAAAATAATTTACTTTTCGTTTAGGTAATGAAAAAGAAACTCCCTTACATAGAACAGCACAATTTGCACCACAAATGAACTTATTACAATATAGAATTCATGAATGGTTGATCCGCAGATATGTTTCAACACAAATCCTTCACATTGCAAAAAATTATTTACACAGCACATGTACCAAAGTCGTGTAAGGTCCAGGAAAAAAAAAGTAAGGACAAGGAGTCTTTCACTTTTAAACTACAGGGTCGTGTAGTAGAGCATCTCCAAACCTTCTCACTAACCAGTGAGCTGCTGCTAAGCATATGATTTGGTCAGCCCTTCATTCAATCCCACTTGTAAACTTTATTTTTATATCTATGCCATAGTTTATTTTCATGATTGAACAAAGCTATTACTTGTTAAATTTATTTTAGTGTTGGGTCTTCTGTTAAGGTTGCATGGCTTTACTTTTTTCTGTTTCAGAAAGATTATGACATAATCAAACCCACTATTTTATTTGGTGTGTATTTCGTTTTGACATTATCTTTTATATATTTTTATACACTGTCAATCTTCAAGGAGCATCCAAATCCCATATTTTGTTTTGTCATTATTTTGTTATAATTTTTTTAAAATGTGGTATTCCGGGATTTAAATGTTCTGTGGAGGGGGGTTGTTTCATTTTGTTACCCATTTTCGTATAACAAATTTATGTCCTTAACAAAAGTGTCACACACATTCACGTAGTCTTGTTGTGCTTCTCATGTCCTGAAACAAGTCACGAAAGAAACCATGGCCTCATTTATGTCAACTACCACATCAACACAACCAGCTCGTATGTGTGCATGTGGGTACGGGCACTGTGTTGTAAAGATTTCCCGTTTTGCAAGAAACCCTGGTCATGCGTACTACCAATGCCCTTGTGGAGTGGCGAGTACAAGCACGTTTCGTTTAACATTTCCTTCTGAAACCGTGACTAATATTTTTTTTAACTTCAGCCATGTGTCAATTGGATTGGGAGATGTGACGAATATGGGCGCCAAAGGGCTGCTGAGAATGACACACAGAATGTCGCTCGTTTTGAGGGTCGTTTCCGTGACATTGAACAAACTCTGCGTGTGCTTGCAACAGTGACATGTGTGCTGTGCATCGTCGTCATTATTTTGTTGTTTTGGATGTGATATATGTAACCGTGGTGCAACCTTACCCTATTTTTATTAAGCGCATTATGGTTTGTGGCCCAAAATTTTTTTTGAAATTATGTGAATGTTCGTAAACATGTATTTTGCATATAATTCCGCTACTGTTTGTTTTCGTTTCAAGTACTAATGTCGTTAAATGAATCTATTGGGCTATGTTTTTTGTCAAATACCACATTGTTATGTTATAAAAATAAGTTCCTGATATTGGTAATGTTTGTATTGTGAGTGTATAAATATTTTTACGTTGGTTCCTGTTTCACGCTATTGTTAGTCACATGGTGTCACATCGATCTGCGCCTCATACCCCTTCCGGCAAAGGGAAAAGGCAACGACCCTATCATAAAGCAACTTGGGATGGGGAGTCGACACAGATTTTCTTGGAACTGGTTGTTAAGGAAATTGAAGCAGGAAACCGGCCACACATGTCAATCACTCCAAACGGGTATCGTTCGTTGTCTAAGACATTTGAGGCAGCAACTGGGCGGCTGCATTCCCCGAAACAACTTAAAAACAAGTATATGCTGTTGAAGACCGAGTGGCGTGCGTGGTGTAAGCTAATGGATTGCCGGAAAGGCCCAACTGGAATTGGCTTTGACCAAGTTACTGGGCTGTTCAATGCTTTGGCTGATTGGTGAGCTAAAATGGAAAAGGTAACGGTTTAGAATTTCTTTTTCGTCTCCGTTATTGCATAACTAATATTATATAAATTTTTGTATGTGTACCATGCTTTCCAATGTAGTTTACAACGTTGAATTTTGTAACTTTACCTAATCTGGGATGGTGTGGTTTGGATTACGAAATATTTTTGTGATGGTGAAAAAAAATTACTGCTTTTATTTGTCCCCTACACTTGTGTAAAGTGCTTCGTTCTTAACATCTTTTCATCCCCATACAATGTACCCACCTGTGTGAGCAAAAAATTCTGGAATTCTGAAATGTTCTGTTCCACTTGTGTAAGGTTTTGGGCCCAATTTAAGGATATTCTTCAAATTATGTTACTGTCAAAAAATTCTGGAATTCTGAAATGTTCAGTTAATTGCTTACTGTCAACCATATAATTGAAAATTGAATGAGATCTTGGTAGGATAGCTCAATTGAACCCAATCATGGACGAAATGTTGTTATTTTCTGAAAATTATTCCATACACACAATGTATTTTCCTGTTAATAGTTTTTCCTGTTCCTTGTTGTTATGGTTAATAAAATAATTACAAAAATTAATGGGAATATGATCAATTTGAATTGTGTTATGGGTTTGCACAATTTGGTAAACAGTAGCTGTTTCTTCACAGTAGCTAAAATACATGTGAAATCCTAGAAGTGATTCGGTGAATGTTGGGATGTTTTGTAGAAGTATTTTTTGTTCCTGTTAGGTTTTATTTCTTGGCAATCCCGTTTGACAAAACTCCTTTGAGTTGTAATTTTATTCGCATTTTTATTTCAGTGAGGCTATGAGTTGTTAGATGCGAATCCAACCCGAATCAAGCATTTCAGAGAAGTTTGTGATGATAAAGCTTTTAAGATTGCCACTTCGCTGATTATGACGGGGATCGAGCTTTCAAGATTGCCACTTCGCTTTCAAGATTGCCACTTCCCAGATTTCTAGATTTGATTATAGAGTTGGTTTTCTTCTGAAAATAGGATTGCTTTGGTTTTCTATAAATAGTTTGTTTTCTCCCAACACTAGGGTAACTTCTCCAGATCTTATTTTTGGATCTTAAGGTTTATATCTGGAGATATTTTGCTAGTTTCTTTGATGTTTTTTATTGAGTATTCAACTCATGGTTTAAAGAGAGTACATCAAAGGTTGTGTTTTGTTCTACAAAAGAGAGA